GGTATTTCAGCAGTAACATGGTATACTGCTGTAAATGGGTATTCCACACAAGTTTGGATTTCATGGGATGCTTTTTAAGAAAACTATTCAAACCTTCTACTTAAGTTCTTATGTAAATCGTTCACCTCATTTTACCATTTAAACAAAGATATGATATTTAATTTATGGAAAGTCGTTATTGATCTAGCTAGATCGATTTACAAAAGCGCGGCCTTGATTGCGTCATAATAGTAAGCTGAACATGATGATTTTTGTGTATATTATAAAGTCAACAGAAAATAAGTCTTCTGAAGTGATAAAACTATAACCCAGCAGAAGCTTTAATGAACAGCATACACGCTTGCGTATTTTACACGGCATAAAATCTATGATCCAGCGACCTTACAGTTCCAGATTTCCCGATGCGCAATATGTAGAAGGTTTGACTGGAAGTATTCCCACTAATTTATCTTGTGCGAGAGAGATATTGTGGTGCTAACAATAGTTTCAAAAGTCTTTAGAATGAATTCTTTTAAGATACAGAAAAGAAAGAAATTTTGCAACAGGGGCGGAATATTCCTTTGAATTATTATCTTATTCTAGCTAGGTATAACATCTACCGCAGTATAATATCAATATCATATTCTAGATAAAACATATTTCTAGAGTTTTATTCCTAGCATAATATTTTAGCTATATCTCATATCTCCGAACTACACTCCCTGTACCAGTATCACATTCTAATTAATATTATATTTTCTATAGCTTTATTCCTTGTATAATATTTTAGCTAGATGTCATTTCTGCAGGACTACACTCCCTGTATTAGTGTCATATTTTAGCTAGATACAAATGTATCATTCAAATGTATCTACCGATCAATGTCCAGATCTATATGTATAAATACATGTATGGTATTCTATCTATATGCCGTATTTCAATAGCTACTTTCCCTGTGTTAGTATCATATACTACATAGATATCATATCTACCTCACCCGTGTCCTATGCTACATATATTCCTCTCATAAGTATCAAATTTATGTTTATAGATACATCTATATATTCAGATGTATCTAAAATGTACCGTACCTACATCTGGAGTTATATTCCCTGCATCCCATTCTAGCTAGATATCAAAGCTACCTCATGTTGTGTTTCATCAGTTAAAAATATAGTGACACACGCAGACACTGTAACAATTGGATAGTTTGTAACACTGTCCACATCAGGGATATCTACTGATGTCCTCTTACTGAAAGAAAGTAAATCGTGTGGGTTTTTTCCCTCAATATTATTAGAATTTGAATTCTATCGCATATATTCTGTGGAATTGTACTTAATGTCCATGATACAAGTATGTTTTTTCAATGGTTTCGGAACGTGCGATTGTTTATAAAAATAGGAAATTAGGAATGAAATAACGTGAAGCCACCAGAGTCACGCAACAAGAAAGATAACTCGTGCACTAATACACAATAACATCGGGTATTCTATACCACTTTGTTTCTGTGAAAGTAATAGCAATCAGAGGTAAAAACAAGACAAACACAATTCTAAACACTAACATTAGAAACCAGGATTTAATAACGATGCAATCAATTATAAGTCTAAAAATAGAAACACTAGAGAATGTTAATATTACACAGGTGGATCCTATTGTGCATGTGTTTATTGTGTTGTGCTTGTAAAATGGCCAAGACAGGTTTACGTAGAGGCGATTAAATTCTCTCATTCTCCCGATGTTTGCTGTAACCAGATAAATACTAGTTCGAAATTTTGATAAATTATGGAGCTGTTACACATGTGCATCTGGATTGTTATATTTCTATGGATGACTGAAAAAATTCTTCAGTCGTCAAAACATTAGGCCCATAGCATCACAGACGAGTCAGTGAAGGACGAAACAGCGGTATGATAAAGGTTCATCTCGTTCTACTTTATGTAAATTTCAATTTGTATTCAATCTTTTGTTAGAATCTTTGTTGTACTGTTCTGTGCAGGTCAACACACCCGTGTTTTCTGGATGTGCATTACATGCTTGCGAGTTGGTTCGAGCCACTTTTCAAACGAAAAAGATAATTAAGTTGTACGAACGAATTTAAAAGTTGTACTTGTATTTCAAGATAAGCAGTCGGAAGAATGAGTTTAAAAGTCGTACAATACAGAATCTCTCATACGAGAGGTTGTTCGTCGGTAACTATTTCTAGAAAATTATTGAGACAGATTTGAGATTGAAATGTCTATTTGTAGATCAGTGGTGATTTCATTTTAGAATAGAATATATTCTTTTAAAATAAAATTGCAATTCAAAGTTTGCATTCATACTTACACAGAAAAATGTTTCAATTTGCATATAACATATAACAGTTAACAGAATAATTGGGCTTGTCCATGTGTCTTAATTGTGTTACTCGGGTGAAGTATTACCATCTTACATACATAATATTGTACATATGAAAGTATATCAGGACTTTTGTTAATAAACAAATCTTCACATGAAATTGTATATAGAGGAAAGATTCCTAAAATTACCTCAATATTTATTTCCTAAATAAAAAAGATTAAGATATACAGTAGAAAGCTCATGGGGAAAAAAAACATTAATATCGTAAAAAAAATCATCGGGGACTGAAAATCAAGCGTTTTTGTTATCGATGAAGCAATAATCCGGTCGAAAACGAATGTTGATGTCAATGATTGATGGTTGAAATACAGAAGATAGTTATTCTGATATGTCTCTATTTTTGTCACTTAAAATGCAATAAACGTGAAAAGCACAGGTACATTCTATAATCCCTCAGACCTACCAACTGAACGGACAAGAAAAAGAAACAGCAGACCTCGATCTTATTATCGCTGACAGTTTTCATTAGCTGGATAACATTTACTTGTGTGGAGAAATATACTGTTAACTACTGAGCGATAATGATATCTAACACAGCACATTTGGTGTGTATAAGAATCGCTTCCCTTGTTTCTAATATGTTATGGTAATAAATGTCATAAAATTGAAACGGAATAAATATTCTTTAAAATTATTTAAATATGGTACACATACGTGTTTATGACTGGATCATCTTCCGATTGACTTCACACGTGTAGATATTTTAAACCATAAAATTGCATACCGTTCCTCACCACATGAAATGAACACGGGCTTATGTGCATGTCACATTATCATAAATCTCTTCACCGATTATTGTGTAAGTCCGGACTTTTGACACCCAAACATAGCTGTCGAATCAGGATATATGGTGGCACCTTCAAGAAGTTCACTGTTGTTATATATACATAAGTATTAATTCACAATGTAGATTTGTATTTATATGATAATACTAATTTTTGTAAATATATTAGCGACTATTTACAACTGATCAGATTACACGTTGACTAAATTAGATGATCCTAACACATGGGGATATTGTGTAGGGTTTTCTTGTCGAAATATTTGCTATCTACGCAAGCGTATTCCGGCCTCGTTGTGTTTTATTTTAACTCGAAATTTCGAGTTGCTATCTCGAAATTTCGAGATAAAATAAAACACAACGTGGCCGGAATACGTTTCCGTAGCTATCCAATTCCAAAGCATATGTTCTCTGTCGTCACCGCCATTTTGTTTACAACGCTTCATCTTGCGTTAGAGCATTTGCGCGTTTGAAAGAGTCAGACTTGCAACGCTTCTAAACGACTCAGAAGTTTCTTCAGAAATGTATTGATTACTATTTCCTTAAGTAGGAAGTTACAAGCGAAATATTTATAGGTTAACTGTTTATGTTCTTTAGAGTAAACAGTCGTTTAGTTAACAAGGATCTCGGTTATGGCTGAGGGTTCGAAGCTTTGTTGGGAAACTTTGTATCTATCTATTTATTCATTTAATTATTTATTTATTTGTTGTTGCATTGTTTAATTTTTATTTACTTATTTTTCCTCGAGTCTAAGATATTTTACTATGAAACTTGGTGAATACACTAGGTGTTTTCTTTCATCACCACTGCTGTACATGTGTCACAAGACCAATATCGCACTTAGACCGTTTCATTGAAAAACTCTAAGCAGATCAACATGGTCATCTTCATAAGAAAATTTCATATTTTTTTCCTGTCTAACCTGTGTATGTACATGTTTTGTTGAACACAGAGAATGTTTGGCAGCACACTTCCAGAGATAAATGTTGACCTCCTACTGTTTTCGTTATTGTAGCAGTATCTACTGCTGGTCGATTTATATTTGGAAATCGATCTGTTATGCGTTTGAATAATTTGCAAATTATTATTAAGAGCAACAGCGCCCGAGTTAAGCTCTTAAATGTTAAAAACGAGATAGGCCTGCATGAAATAGATAGTTACATCCCTTCCCACATGTGTTACATTTCCCTTTTAAAACCATCTTGAACGTCAAAAGCTAAATTGTGTTGATATAAGGATGGCATATGTCGTATGATCACCCGTTTCGTTCACAAATAATAGATTGTTCTGGAAAATCATTGTGTCTCCTTAGAATGTGGTACCTGACTGTCCAGTTATGATTGTATCGTTACGGTCGCGTTAGGACGTCACAGACAACTTAAAGTTGACATTAAAAAGAACTTTGTCGATAGAATGAACAAAAACAATGCTAGAGAAGTAATTTTTGATATTTTATTTTATCAATATTCCAAAAGTGTATTCACTTTCCATACTGTTCTTATCCTCTAAACTCTCTCCTGTAAATCCCTGAACTGAGATTCCAGTTTGTGCCTTCAGAGTTACATACATAACACTTAAATACTTATATATTGAGACTGCACCGTTGTTTAGATTAAGAATCAAATATGAACGAGAAAGGTCCGTATCTACATCCGGTAAACTGAATGATTGCAATAATGTCTGTTTTGTTAGGTTTTAGTTTTTTTCATAAAGTTTTATTAAATGTAAATTTAGAGTACAAGTCTGATGACTACCATTTGATCAGTTACCTTCCTTTCATCAGCGTTTGTCATCCTGGTAACTTAATAAGAACAGTTGAGGTATCACACATGCACTACGTACTGTACTTCAGTAGTTTGATATTGCAGCTACCAAACATCACCCATAGGATATCCTCTCTGTCTATACCAACAGCAGTAGTCCAGTAGACATCTCTGTGCAGGTTCCTTAGGAACTCACCACGCCCACTAATAAGTAGAACACGTTTGTTTTTGCGGTCTCCTATAACTAGGCGACCTCCACTATCATACGCCACATTCCAGGGGTCAAATACTTCTGACTGCGCTTTTGGTTGATGTGTGTCGAGGTCTTCGCTTCCATATCGAAAGAGCTCCTTGAAGTCAGTATCCATAACAATAACCTGTTGATTTTTACCAACGTGTTTTCCATCACTTAAATTGACCACTGCGATGTTATGAGTGACGGGACATTCTGAAATTCTGTGTGGTGTATACGCCTTCCCAATGCCCGCAGCCATTGTACTGAGTACCAATTCACCGTTTGCCGTAAATTTTTTGATGTGTTTGGGCGCTCCTAAAACGACATGCTTACTGGCTGTAATGCAGATGCACTGTGGTTCTTCCGTGTTTTTGAATCTTTGTACAAGTCGGCCTGAAACAAGCTCTGTAATGTATTTTTCCTCGTCACATGCCCACAATATGTTGGTTGTTGGTGATAGACTAATGTCCTTGATCTTGGCGTTGTGTTTGACCTCCTGTACAATTTTGCCCTGCTTGTCCAGTTGAATCAAGGTGTCACTGTTATGTGCACTGGTCCACATGCGTCCTTCAGTGCCGGGGCATATACAATCGATATTACATGGAGATTCCAACTCTCCCAATATCTTCGTCCGAGGACCTTTTCTCCTTCCAGCTGACCTCTGTTGTGTATAAGGCGTCTTTACATTCGGTCCTGACCTCTGTTGTTGAATGAATTGTCCTTTTTGACCTGCCTGATCATGACCTTTGAAGGATTGACCCTGTCCTTGATCCGAGACGTCCATTTCTCCAAGAGCATGTTTCAAGTGACACTGAGGACTCCCGTTCGGCGTAAAGCTAACGGTACCAAGGGTAGGTTTAACGGGGAGTGTGACAGATGAATGAATCTCACATCCTGTGTCGAAAATGTCTATGTTAGAGCCACGCTGAAGTGCTTCCTTACATTCCAGTACTTTTTGTTTTAGTTGTGTGCTGTACATTTCCAGGTCATGTTTATAGGTTTGTAACAACTTAGCGTTATCCTCTTCCATTTGTTTATAAAGGGATAAAGTCTGAGCTGAAAGAAAGTCAAGGTCTTCTTTTAATTTGTTTGTTTGTGACATTAATCGTTGTGAAAGGTTTCCAAAATTGCTGGCGTTTTCCATGAGCAGCTTATCTGTAGACATGATATACTGGTCGATTTGTACAAGCTCAGTATTTTCACTTTTCTTAATGAAGTTTTGAATGTCTTGTTTCTTCCGTGCAGAAATATCGCCAATTCCACAAAGAGGGTGGCTCTTATGCACACTAGATAAACACTTAATACATGCAAGCTGTTCACATTTTTCGCAGTAAAGGTCCAGTTGGTTCCCTTTGTGGTAGATACACACACTTCCGCCTTTAATACGGAAAGGAATCTGACCTTTATATAGGGACGTAGCCATTTTGATTCTTAATAAGTCGATATTTTCCACTATAGAGAAACCTAAAATTTCCCGTCAGAGGTTTGTTTTGACGCAGTAAAGAACAATTCACATGTAATCATAACTGTTTTTTGGTAATTCCGTTTGTTCCCAGTGCAGTAAGAATGACCATCAGAGTAAATGTATTTGTAAATGTCAATTAATAGCGGTAGTTACATAATGTCACTCACCGATTTTGTGATGACGTCATGGCATCCATATAAATTCGCCATACTTTTCTACTGAAACAGTGTTAGTTGTTCTCAAGTTTGAAAGTATCTCTGTCGACTTCTATCTGTTCTGCTAAAACTTATAAATCACAACCAACCTTCTCGGCCGAAAGATAATACAAAGCTAATCTACAATGTATTGATCTAGATAAGAGATAAGGTTATTGATCTTTTTTAAACACTACATATCTACCCGGGTGGCAGTTGTTTGTAGGGAAACAAGGAAGTGGGTTTATCCGTTGTGAGGCGACTTGATATAACCTTATTTATTACCTGTTAAAGCGAATCAGGACAAGGAATATTGGCCCGACGCCAATGAGGTTGTAAATAACATGACAAGTTACATAGGCAACTTTACTAGAGGAGAGCGGAATCAAGTGAAAGAACAATAATTGATATAAACATAGAGTCGGTTCCAGGTCCGGAATTCCGGAATTCTAATTCAACCTGAAAGACTATACAACATACTGATTTAAGTTACAATCATTAATCTCGAATAATTCTGCAAATGTGTGTGTATTTTTGTCAATTTTAAATTTTAACAAAAAAATTATGTTATGGAGGAAGACTTTTTGTTTTCTATACAATTTGTATTTTCACGGTATATACTGTTTCTAGTTTGGCAGTATATTCTTATTCCCCATAAACTAAACAATGGAACCTCTCGATATTGAAGACCTTGACGTATGATGTATCATAATGTAATGTACTGTAGTGTACAACAAAGGGTTTTAATTCACGAATTGGCCTTTTTACCTCGTCAAAGGCTCTGTGAAACTAAAATCTTAGACTCGTTTATTAGATCTTGTATGAAACGGAAACTCATGTAAAATATTATTTAAATATGATATACTCATGCTTTAATCATACAGCTGCATTTGAAATGTTAACCTCGTTAAATTTACAACGTTAATATCTCTTCATTTACAATGTACAGTATATCTACTTTTTTTCGTTGGCCGAAATATCGGGTGTTACATGTAGCCTAGTATGTCAACTGCTGGAGTGCCCTCCGGTCCTTTGCATGGGGATGTTGGCAACATTGTAAATTGCATTCGATTATGTGTAGAAATATCTAATTATGTTTTATTACACTGTATTTCGTTATTATTCGTTAGCCAGAACAGACTTCTGGTGTAAATTGTCGGTGATGTTCATAACATTCACTACCTTATTTACCAATTCAACATTCATAAATTAGCGAGTTGTTGGATGACCGCGGCCATCTTTTACTGGCGTTTAAAGAGCCTCCCCCTACATTAATATTAACCTGGACCTCCCCCTACATTAACATTAACCTGGACCTCCCCCTACATTAACATTAACCTGGACCTCCCCCTACATTAACATTAACCTGGACCTCCCTCTACATTAACATTAACCTGGACCTCCCCCTACATTAACATTAACCTGGACCTCCCCCTACATTAACATTAACCTGGACCTCCCTCTACATTAACATAAACCTGGACCTCCCCTACATTAACATTAACCTGGACCTCCCTTACATTAACATTAACCTGGACCTCCCCCTACATTAACATTAACCTGGACCTCCCTCTACATTAACATAAACCAGGACCTCCCCCTACATTAACATTAACCTGGACCTCCCCCTACATTAACATTAACCTGGACCTCCCTCTACATTAACATTAACCTGGACCTCCCCCTTTATTAACATTAACCTGGACGTCCCCTTACATTAACATTAACCTGGACCTCATCTTACATTAACCTGGACCTCCCTCTACATTAACATTAACATGGACCTCCCCCTACATTAACATTAACCTGGACCTCCCTTACATTAACATAAACCAGGACCTCCCCTACATTAACATTAACCTGGACCTCCCCCTACATTAACATTAACCTGGACCTCCCTCTACATTAACATAAACCAGGACCTCCCCTACATTAACATTAACCTGGACCTCCCCCTTAACATTAACCTGGACCTCCCTCTACATTAACATTACCTGGACCTCCCCCTAACATTAACCTGGACCTCCCTTACATTAACCTGGACCTCCCCCTACATTAACCTGGATTACCTTAACCTCCCCTCTACATTAACATTTAACCTGGACCTCCCCCTACATTAACATTAACCTGGACCTCCCCATTAACCTACATTAACATTAACCTGGACCTCCCCTACTACATTAACATTATTAACATTAACCTGGACCTCCCCCTACATTAACATTAACATTAACCTGGACCTCCCCTTACATTAACATTAACCTGGACCTCCCCCTACATTAACATTAACCTGGACCTCCCCCTACATTAACATTAACCTGGACCTCCCCCTACATTAACATTAACCTGGACCTCCCTCTACATTAACATAAACCAGGACCTCCCCTTACATTAACATTAACCTGGACCTCACCTTACATTAACCTGGACCTCCCCTACATTAACATTAACCTGGACCTCCCTTACATTAACATAAACCAGGACGTCCCTCTACATTAACATTAACCTGGACCTCCCTTTACATTAACATTTACCTGGACCTCCCCCTACATTAACATTTACCTGGACGTCCCCTTACATTAACATTAACCTGGACCTCCCCTTACATTAACATTAACCTGGACCTCACCTTACATTAACCTGGACCTCCCTCTACATTAACATTAACCTGGACCTCCCCTTACATAAGCATTAACCTGGACCTCATCTTACATTACCATTAACCTGGACCTCACCTTACATTAACATTAACCTGGACCTCCCCTACATTAACATTAACCTGGACCTCCTACATTAACATTAACCTGGACCTCACCTTACATTAACATTAACCTGGACGTCCCCTTACATTAACATTAACCTGGACCTCATCTTACATTAACATTAACCTGGACCTCACCTTACATTAACCTGGACCTCCCTCTACATTAACATAAACCTGGACCTCCCCCTACATTAACATTAACCTGGACCTCCCTCTACATTAACATTAACCTGGACCTCCCCCTACATTAACATTAACCTGGACCTCCCCTTACATTAACATTAACCTGGACCTCCCCTACATTAACATTAACCTGGACCTCACCTTACATTAACCTGGACCTCCCCCTACATTAACATTAACATTAACCTGGACCTCACCTTACATGGACTGACTTGACAGTTTAAAGATATCTAAGATATCTATTTAAATGATTGTTTGCATTTTCGTATTAATCACTTTATTTGTACAGTTTTCGCCTTCCATGCCATGATAGGTGTTAGTGTAATTAGATGCGATGCTGTACAGATAAACAAGATCGACTGAAAGTTTTACAAACATACGTCAGATTTTATTGTTCACCAAAGAACATTTGTACTGATTTGTACTTATTGGTAGTAAATATCATTTACAAACAACATAGTTAACAATTTAATGACTGGAATGCGTTCTGTTTCTGGATGAGTAATTAGATTTCATCTATTGGCTAACGTGAAAACCACTTGATCGGATAAATCATTCTACCGTTGATTGGTTGTAGTACAAACAATTTCCCCCATATACGAATTATATACGGATAGCGCAAACAGTGTTTCCGGATATTCATGAAGACAACAGCAGAAACAGGATTATTTCGGATATATATATGTTTCGTCTTGGTAAGTCTTTAAGTGTATTAAAAACTTATAATATAAATGATTTGTGTTATTACAAAATATTTAAAATGGTTCGTGGATGATTTCATATGTTCGTAAACAGAGTAGTTAGGCAAAGGTAACTTTGATTTTAATTGTCATATTTTGAGAGCCATAGCCTATTTCCTGTGGCTATATCTTGATATGCACCAGTTATCGTGTACACAATGCTATTAAATGTAAACGAAATTCTATATATAGCTAAAAAAATGTATTTAAATCTTTTTGTAATAATTCACCGCTTAAAATATATGAATATATCAACATATCACGAAAACTATCAATATTTTTTATTCTTACATTACTCATGGATGTGTTCTTTTATGTCATATGTTTTCTATCATTTCAGATAGGACCTTGTCCGTAAGATGAGTCGGCCACAAGTACTAATCTAATATGTATACGTGCTGTTAGTGTTGCTTCTAATGTATGGCCTTATAGAATTAAGACAAACAATCTTCCATACTCAAGGTGCCTTTTCAGACAGTCATACGTAGTGAAGCGCCAAGGTACCCTCGGAAATCCTGCTCTAGCAATCAAACTTACATAGACTTCGGGCTGCATTGACAACAGAGCAGACGGAAAGGGTCGATAACTGCATGTTAGATTACACAACTGACGACAGAAAAGGTCCACAACAAGATCAGGCTAATAAGAATGTTAGATATACAAGTCATACCTATTTAAACAATA